TGTAGTTGTTAATTCGTAGTGGGACATTTGTCCAGCTCAAGGTTTTAAATATATAATTTAATGCTATCCATTAATTGATAGTAGGCTATGATAATTTTTTAATTTTGGAAAGCAAGTATTGGTGGGAGTTGAATGAAATGTTTAAGTAGAAGACAGCAAATATTAAAAATTTGGCAAATTACAATGGATATAAAATTGAGAAAGGAACTTCTAGCTGTTTGGAAGGGAATTAAATTATAGAATATCACTACTCCTTCCATATCTTTATGTAGATATTTAGGTCTATTACATCTTTAAGGCATACGTTTACAAATGTTCTCTTTACTCTCTGTCCTGCTCTTCTACCACAGTTGAAGGCTGTACCTTTCCTGTTGCACATGTGATACTTATCCTGATACTTATACTTCAAAATCAGATCTCATAACAGGCACGTCACAAAGTAATCATTTGTCCTATTTAAAAATAAAACAAACAAAAAACAGTAGATGCCCTATAAGTATTGAAAACCCCAGTGCACTTACAATACAGCTGTATTTTGGCAACATATGGATTTGCAACACTTTCTGAATCTTCCTCCTTTCTTCTTTTTGTGTGCAGAAATGGCTAACGGGTTTGTGCCGGTGTTCTGAAACATCTCACTCTGATAAAGTCTCTTGGAGATGGCACACTGTCTTTGGACGTCAATCCTCGCTCATCTGATAGTGCTTACACTTTGTCTTTGCTCTGGCCTCTACCTCGAACTCTACATGCTCTTTATTTAGGTGTCCTCGAACTTGGCCTTTACTACAATAGAAACATTTCTGTCCCCTTTATATTTAGGGCCCTTTAGGTAGGTAACAAGCAGTAGAAGCAGAGTAAAGTTGGTTTCATCAGAGAGGTATTTATTGTAGGGATTCAGATGTGTAGAGCAGAGACCTCAGGGGCACTAGTCCTTAGGAAGGGACTGGAAACAAAACTAGAAAGTTGCAAGACCTCTGTCTCTCTTTCCTTCCCTCTCCATTGCTGCCTCTCTCTTTGCATTTTCTTATTCTTTTCTCTCTTTAGACTAGCATGTCCTCTCCTCAGTCCATAGGGCAAGTGATATTCAGGGACTGGCTTGCTGTCTCCAATTCCAAATTCTTGGGGCATCAGGAATGACCTGGCAACATAGCTGAGAGTGGGAACAGGCATTGGACTTGTGAATGCCACCTTTCCCAGTGCTGGCCTGTTCTGTGCTCTAGGGTCTAAGTTTATAATGAGCGTAGCTGGGCATTAGCTCTTGTCATACTGAGACCTTGGTATGCTCTCAGGCTCTGCAGCCACACCCTTCCACTGCCCACCGGGAAAGGATAAAATTTAATTTATTCATTCAGTGAACATTTATAGAACCCTGCTTTATGCCAGCATCATAGAATACATATTTGGGAAAAAGACTTTAGTATCTGGTGGGGAAGCAGCCTGGAATCTAAGGAAGCAGTTAAATTACACCAGTTACCAATGTGGTAAGTACTCTGAGGTCAAGAAGCTGAGATGAAAAACAATGCAAGATAGGCATCTATTTTAGAAAGGCCTCTCTGAGGAGGTGAGATTTTAATACCTAAAGAATGAGATGGAACTAGCAGGAAAGAATTTGTTGGTTTTCATGGAAAGAAAAAATCTAATTTGTGAGCAGAGGGAGGATGACATGGGAGAAAGCAGGAGAATATGACTTGTAGGTCAAGGAGTTTGGATTTAATCCCAACTGTAGCCACAGTAAAAAAATAAATTAATTAAGAAGAAATCATTAGCCAGGTTGCTGAGTCATATAATCCATTAAGAAGTATTATCTACCCTTTAATTTGTGCCAGACCCCAATATGGTATACTGAGGATTAAAAAATAAGTCAAATACCTAATCCTCCTCAGATTTTGATCATAATTTAGCCTGAGAGATGAGGCTGACTGAGGAGGTTCAAGTCTCAGGAGGCAGTGGGGGCCCAAGTTGGCCATATGCCCCAGGACCATGGGCCTGAGATCAAACAGCTTTCAGAACCAGAGGACCAAGGAGGCTTGTTAAACAGATCTCAAGAGGCTGAGTGAGCTTCTCTGCCATGTGATGGAGGGGTTGTCACATAGTACGGCACTCACTGTGTGCCAGACTCTCTAAGCACTTTCCAAGTACCTACTCAATTTAGTCCTCATAGTAACCCTGTGAGGTGGTAATTATTGTGATCCCTGTTGTACAGATGAGGAGACTTAGGCAACCAAATGTAAAATAACTAGCTGAAGACCTCCCAACCGGTAAAGGTAAAACCAACATGTGAGCACAGGGCAGTCTGGTGCCAGAGTTTACCTGTTACCACCATATGTCCTTGCTGTCAGCCCTGACAGGTAGGGAGGACATTGACTAGACACAGTGCCACACGGAGTCATAGGCAACCTTAGTTTTTAAAAATTTTTTAAAGCTCTGGTTTTAAAAATTTTTGATTAGGTATGTGATGGGATGTGTTGAATTGGTGGTGAAAGTAGGATATACAAGTGAAAATATTGTCTATAGCGGTCTAGGGATCTGCAAAGGAGGTCTTGGCTGCTCCGTATATTTCTGTGCACTGACTTTTGGGGGAATAGACAATATTGGACCAGTGAAAGTAGGATATACAAGTGAAAATATTGTCTATAGCGGTCTAGGGATCTGCAAAGGAGATCTTGGCTGCTCCGTATATTTCTGTGCACTGACTTTTGGGGGAATAGACAATATTGGACCAGTGAAAACTAATGTTTCCTTCACTTTCTACCAGGATGTTCATTGTGCTAAGCTCTCTTTGCTTATGATTGGCTCAACTATCTAATGTACTATTATATAGTTTAGAATTAAAATAAATTGTCTCAAACCTCAAATTAATAAAACAAATAATAACAAAAGTGCAAAGTATGTACTGGAAAGCATGGGATACAACAAAGATATTACTTGGGATAGATTTTATGTTTTTGTTTTGGTTTGTTTTGCAGTCCAGTTTGAGGGAAGAGATGGTATGGTAACCTTCAATAATCCTTAACTCACATATGTCTCTATAGCTTTCCTTGTCATGGTCAGATTGATTGAAATAAAGAGTAAGTTCAAGTTAACTCATATTCGTGATGTAGCACAGTGACAAAAAATTCTAATTATCATTGAGTTCACTTTGGAAAGAAAAAGTTCTCCTGAAATTGAAAATTGAGTTAAGCAATGCCAGGAAACAGTGACTACTCTGTCTCTTGCCCAAGGCAGTTTATCAGAGTTGCAAAGGCACCCCTTGTTGGAAATAAGTGTAAGGCAAATACCATATGTATTAGAGTGCATTAAATTCTTTCCCAAGAATTCTCAAAATATTTTAAAAATATTCCCAGAAAACCTGTGAAAAGAAAGTATCCATGTTCAAAAAGAGATTTCTCAGAAAGACAGAAAATTTTATCAGGTGACACAGTTACAAGTTCTGAAATACAGCCATTTTCAGGAAGCAATAATAACTATTATTGTTGGTTTGAGAAACTTTTCTTATTGTCATTCTTGAGAGAAAGGGTTTTCCTGATGTGGCTGCCAGCTTCATTTGTTGACAATATGTCAATCTCGATGGAAAAAGAAAGCTTAGGAGAATAACATGTTTATAATTTTTATGTTAAAGATGCTTATTTATGAATATAGAAATGTTATAATAAAAAATGTTGTTGTAAAGTGACTTGTGATTGAAATTCCACCTGCTATTTTATAAGTAGCTGTTACTGGTTCAGAATTCAAAGTACCAACTAATGGTAGTTTAGTGCTGTAGAGGAAGGATATGGAAGAGGAGGAGGAGAGATGAGAAAGGATTGAATAGTCATAATCTCCAAACATAATACCTGTCTACCTATCTAAAGACATAGTGGTCTACAATTATCATTTCTGTTTTATTATTGTAATATCTTTAAGTTAATATTATCTTAATACTATCAATAACAATTAATTATCTTCTTAAATAGTACAACTAATTCTTTCTCATTGGAAGGAAAGGAATAACATGAAGGTTATTGTAATTTCTTTAAGTTAATATTATCTTAATACTATCAATAACAATTATCTTCTTAAATAGTACAACTAATTCTTTCTCATTGGAAGGAAAGGAATAACATGAAGTGTAATCTGTATTTAGGTATTGTTTGTCAAGTAAGTTTTCCTCAGTATCTTTGTTCAGTAGGATGTAAGTTATACATTTAATAATGCAAATGAACTCATAATTGATATGCAACAGAGGTTATGATTAATTCATATGTACTTGGATTTCACTGAGTGTATGGTGTTGAATTTTATAAAAACATTTAACTATTTGTGAATCACTTCCTGACACTTCTGCTGTATTTTATACTTGGTCCTTTTAACTTTAAATTGAACATGCCAGCACCCTGCCAGCACCCTTAAATTCTGAAACTGCGAGAATGGCAAAGGACAAAAGGGTTTTGTCCCTTCTAATAACCTAAGAAATAAAAGCCAAAGGATATAATGGCAACAGTACCAACAATAACAGCAACAACAAAAGCTTGTGGGGACACGGGTGACGGACGTAGTACACAAGCATCTCTGTTCTCACTTGTTCACTCAAATTATATACATTACCAAGAGAAACATTTTAAGCTTGGCAAAACACTGTGGACTCCGTGTTGTTTGTGAGTTGGAACACTAGGGGACAGCACTAAAATATTCCATAGTTGTTCATTATTGATCTCTTGCATACTGTATGATAAATAAGAGATTTTACTGCTAAAGACTACTGAATGTCCTTTTGATTTCCATGGATGAAAAAGCACAAAGAAGAAGATGAGATTTTCAAGTCCTTAATTTCGACCTTTATGAGAGAGTGATTTGAATAATTTAGAAAAAGCTCCCAGGCTGTCTTTTTGTTTGCAAGAATATAGTAAGATGTGATCACTTAAGGAATTGTGATTCTTCTATAAGGAATGTTTTTTTCTGTCTTTTTATTCTGTTGGGGTAAATCTTTTGTTTAAATTTTTATTTTTAATCTTGTTTTCCAGGCACTTTGGAAAGACATGAGACAGGAGAAAGAGCAAGGATTATTCTTGATTGTTGTGATGGTTCACAGCTTGTGAAGCCTGAGTCTGTACTTGCAGTTACTTCAGAGACACACAAGCACAGAAGTGTAGAGCAGAGATCCTCCAGCTCTCACCAGCGTGGGCCAGTACCGTGCGCCGGTCTGCAGGTGGAGTCTTCACGTACGGTAAGTTCACATCTAGACGCTGCTTGATTATCCACCCAAGTAAGAAGTAACATGCCTTCATAAATATGGGACACTTAAATATCAGCACAAAAGCAAGAACTCAGAGACAATTGCATCTACTAAGTGATCTTAGGTGAATCAGAATAACTTTTTGAGTGATTATTATACTTGTTATGGTATTATTTTTGACAAGATAAGTTCTGGCTTATCAAATTTGAGTCAACTTTATACTAACTATGGTTTTCAATGGAGAGGGGAAAAACTATATTCTGTGGTTTGGATCCATTTTCTTTTTTCAGTTGAAAATATTTGACTTCTTTTTAAAATGCTTATTGCAAATAAACAAAAGGATATAAGAAAACTAGATAATTGTATGGACAATTCTTTTGATATACTCAGCATGTGTAGGATCACCAGCTCTTTAGGATTCCAAGCCTCAGTTAATACACAGTAATGGAGTTGGCATTTATTCTCACCAACCAAGTCAACCAGCTTAGAGTAAATTTGGGCTAGCTTTATTATTTTTCATTTATAAACATGATATAGTAATTTAATCTGATTTCTTTAAGGGATAATTTTCTATCTTTCTGTCTTTACACTTCCAAGTTATCCCCTTTAGTATGTTGTAAACTATTTCATGTACATGCACATGTCTAATGTATTTCTTCATGTAAACATATTTTCATGATATTATATATGTATATATCAGTTTTTAATGGCTGCATCATGCTCTATATTGTGCTTATACTATTGCTGATATAAATTATTTTTATGGCTCAATTAATGGATTGCTTTTTATGTTTCACTTTTATGAATAATACATCTATGAACCTAAAGCTTTTTTCATCAGGACTATTTAAAGGATAGATTTCTGAAAGTGGGATTTCTTAGTCAATTTGTAGCTGATTTTTAATTACATATTGTAAACATTTTCAGTTATTTTAACGATATTATGAAAACTGCTAAAATATCATTATTAAGGACTTTAAATGAGATTTTATTTTACCTCATGTGTACAAATGTAGTTAGAAGCAAAAGGATGAATTGTCATCAAGATATTATGAAAACTGCTAAAATATCATTATTAAGGACTTTAAATAAGATTTTATTTTACCTCATGTGTACAAATGTAGTTAGAAGCAAAAGGATGAATTGTCATCAAGAAAGGCCAATCGGCTGCCTCCAAGCAGCATGGGGTTGCTAGCGTGTAATCTAGGTTTTTAAGTTTAGAGACCCGATTTAGATTTTATCAGGAGTTCAGGATTTGTCAACCTTTTGAGAACTGAGTCAGACTAACCAAACACCTAAGAAATGACAATATAAACTAAAATGACAATTCTTTAATTTGCAGTGATAAATATAATTGGGATTCTGTCTGTTCAGCACATTCTCACTATAGCAAAGCTGGGGAGGGTGGTTGGCACAAATTGTAAGAGGGGATAAACTAAAATGACAATTCTTTAATTTGCAGTGATAAATATAATTGGGATTCTGTCCGTTCAGCACATTCTCACTATAGCAAAGCTGGGGAGGGTGGTTGGCACAAATTGTAAGAGGGGTTCCTTGGTGGACATGGACTTGAGCCAGAGGTATGCATTCATTGAGCTATGAGTGAAAAAGGCAACTCTTTCAGCTCCTCAGGGTACCACCTTTCTTGGTCAAGGATGATATACACTGAAAAATTCCGAAATTTGGGTTTCTCTTTCTAAGACTCCATTTAAACCACCTCCTTTTGCTCATACTTTCCTTCTTCAGTTGCTAAAGCCAGTGATGAGGTGACAGCTTTTTTTTTTTTCTTTTCTCATTTAGTCAATTGTTTTTAGGTTACCAAAACCTGTTCCTCATATTCTTACCTTGAAAATGGTTGTATTTTTTTAAGGACAATTATATAGACATGATGATACTTTAACAGTCACAACTGAACATAAGATAGAGAATTGAATCACATTTATATTATATGAGGGCACTTCACCAAGTTTATGGAAAGATTCATATTACCTTTCAATTTTGTTTTTCCATGAACTTTTTGACATATCCTGGCATATTATAAGACCAGGGTAAATAAAGCTCTGTGAGTAAACCCAGCTGACTGCTGAGCATTCCTTTCTTCATGTGGCTTTGTTGCTCTCTATTCATTAAATAGAGTGTGCAGCTTATCGGGGAAAATGCTAAAATAGTAGATGAGAACTTGGGGATGTCTCTTGACCTCTGCATTTCAGATGCCTAGGATCTGCAGGAGCAAATCTCATTCATCAAGTGCCAATTTTACTAGTTTAATTCCTAGAAGGTAAACTGATTGCTATTTCTTGGAGAACCTCAGAGCTACCCTTTAGGTAGTGATAACAGTACAGATAGATTTCATTTTCTTTATATAATTTTGTTTCTTTCTTGACTTCAGGAAGCAATAAAACGCCAGGGTCTTGTTTTCCTACTCATAGGCTGATTTCAACTTCATTTTCTAGCTGTTTGCTGCCCTTTACCTTAGATGACTACAATTTCCAACCTTCATTCTTTGTAGTTGGAACTGAATTAGAACTGAATTAGACAGGACTGTCACCTCCTTTGTTCTACATAGTTTACTTCTATTATTATTGAATTTAGTGTTAACTAGAGCTATTTTTATTTGTGATTCTCCTAAATTATATCTTCTCCAGTTATGTACTGGATATGTTCATTGCCTTTGATACATTTGTTCTTTTAACATTTCATTAGGCTGTTGAGATTCTTTTATCTTAATCTTCTCTAATTTATAAATTTGATAAGCATGAAATTTCAAAGGTGCTTATAAGTTCTCCATTCTCCTTACTTATTAATATAATAAAATGCCTCATTAGTTTTCATAAGAAAAAATATCAGTTTTAAAGGACAAGATTTGAGTCATGCTTATTTTATAGGTGGGAAAAATGAGGGACAGTAAGCCTGTGAAATTTAGAATTATCTAAGGTTACTTTGTATTTCATGATTTTGTGTGTGTGTGTGTGTGTGTGTGTGTGGATTATAGTGAGATACAAGTGAAATATTCTCTAACAATAGAGTGAACTGTTTAAACAGATGAATAAAGTAAGAGATCTTTGCAGTGAGTTCTTTGTGTTTGTCAATATTTGGACGTCATTAGAATGCTATATTCGCTTTTTCTTCTTGCATTTGAAAACTGCATATAGATTTGGAGAAAGTTTTAAAGAGAACGACAAATGCAATAAGATGTTTTGAAAATGGGTCTAATTTGAAATGCTAAAGGAGTTGAATTTGTGTAGCTAGACAAAGAAGAATCTGTGGGGTAGGAGAGAAGGGCCAGAGTCTTAAATGACAAATGCAATAAGATGTTTTGAAAATGGGTCTAATTTGAAATGCTAAAGGAGTCGAATTTGTGTAGCTAGACAAAGAAGAATCTGTGGGGTAGGAGAGAAGGGCCAGAGTCTTAAAGGATTTAAAGGAATACAATATCATATTAGTGATGGGGAACTGCTTTTCTTAGATTCAGCTGAGGAAAAAACAAGATAGAACCTGTTTAAATTGCAGTGGGAGGAATTTACCTTCAAAGCAGAGAATAAACAACCTTACTAAGTCATCTCTACTTGGCAGAAATCATTGTAGCTTTATCATATTTTAAGAAGAAAAGACCTATTTTGTCTGTTGATCGGTTTTAAATTCTTTACCTGCATCTCTTGTCTGTAAAGTAAGTAAAAAAAGGATAAACAGGATTATTTTAACTGCCACAATTTAGACCCATTGTAGTGTCTTGGGAATGCCTTTTACTTTTGTTAACTGATTTTTTGTAGAATGAGTCTCCCAACAGCTCCCCCTTGTTGCTTATTTAGAGCTTCACTGTCTAATATGATAGCCATTAACCACATGTAGCTCTTGAGCACTTAAAATGTAGCCACATGTTAAAATGATTATATTTTGGATCTATAGGGCTAAATGAAATATATTATTAAAATCAAATTTTACCTATTTATTTTTTGTTTCTTAATATAATGACTAGGCAATTTAAAATACAAATGTGGTTTGTATTTTATTTGTATTGGACAATAGTGAAATAGACACTGCGTGAGTAAACTTTTTTGTAAAGGACCACATGGTGAGTATTTTAGGCTTTGTAGGCTAGACCTTTGCTGTTGCACCTACTCAACTCTACTGTTGGATCACAGAAGCAACGATAGTCAATTCTTCAACAAGTTTGATTGTGTTCCAATAAAACTTTATTTATAAAAGCATACAGTGGACCAGAGTTGATGCAGTGGCCATAGTTTGCCAATTTCTGATCTAGACAGTCCTCTCTGGACTTGGAGATCATGAGGTACTACAAGGAACTGGCAAAATAATCAATACTTCCTATTTCCCTCTATATCTGAATTTTTAATAAAGCAGCTTACCTGAATATTTTAATAAATATTTGAATAAAGCAGCTTATCTCAGCATTGTATGGAATATAATTCAAAATGCCTTAAATAAAGTCTGTTCTCTGACAGAAACCACAAACTTATATGTGTTTGGAAAACTGCCCTTTGTAGAAAAACAAATATGCAAATTACAGACCCCAATCAAATTGACATTTTTTTAATGGCATTTTCTTTAAATAATGCACTTCTATGTGCATCTTTATCTAAACATATAAAATTGATTATAAATAATGTATTTGTATTTATTTACATTCCAGTTCAGCTTTATACAAATATGATTGTATTTTTTTTAACCTTTAGCTGACCTTAGGATGATGTCTGTTTGGTGCTTTTTGCTGAAAAATCTTAGTAGAACTTTATCACTCTACTCCTCATAAAACAGATGGTGTACTGGTAGACTATTAATAGAAAATTGGATCCCACAATTGCCTATCACCTTAACAGAATGAAAAGTTAGTTCCTTTATATTTTATGATTAAAAAAAATAGCCAAGGTAGAACTAGCATAGTTTCTAAATTGAAAATTTCACTTGCAAATTTACATGTAAAAATTTTAAATAATAATTCATGATGATAACATTACATTTTGCAGATTAAC